ACAAAAGGGGAGGATAAAAACGAAGAGTCAAACTAACGGCAAAAAGTTGAAAATTGACACAAAAAATAGACACAAAACGCAAAAGAAAACGATAAAAAACGCGAGAAGGAAAAAGGAGTCAAAAAAAGCAACAAAAAAAGCAAAAGAAAAAGGCCAAAAGAAGAAGCAACAAAAAAAGGAGCGACAAGAAAGAAGTGCCAAAACAAAATCACAGTACAAAAAATTGTTAAAACAAAAAGGGTGGAAAATTGGGGCTATTTTGCATATTTTTGAAAATTTCAAAGGACGATTCTGGGAAAACCATTGGAGTTATTGAAGAAATGAAAACGGATATGACTTCTGCGGCCCGAAATCTGTAAGAAAATGTATTAAGTAAAATTTCGAAAATTTTGTTGAAAATTGGTCGAAAATAGAGGTCATTTTGCATATTTTTGAATATTTCAAAGGACGATTCTGGGAAAACCATTGGAGTTATCGAAGAAATGAAAACGGATATGACTTCCGCGGCCCGAAATCTACAAGAAAATGTATTAAGTGAAATTTCGAAAATTTTGTTGAAAATTGGTGGAGAATTGGGATTATTTTGCATATTTCTGTATATTTCAAAGGACGATTTTGGGAAAACCATTGCAGTTATCGAAGAAATGAAAACGGATATGACTTCTGCGGCCCGAAATCTACAAGAAAATGTATTAAGTGAAATTTCGAAAATTTTGTTGAAAATTGGTGGAAAATTGACGTTATTTTGCATATTTTTGAATATTTCAAAGGACGATTCTGGGAAAACCATTGGCGTTATTGAAGAAATGAAAACGAATATGACTTCTGCGGCCCGAAATCTGTAAGAAAATGTATTAAGTAAAATTTCGAAAATTTTGTTGAAAATTGGTCGAAAATAGAGGTCATTTTGCATATTTTTGAATATTTCAAAGGACGATTCTGGGAAAACCATTGGAGTTATCGAAGAAATGAAAACGGATATGACTTCTGCGGTTCGAGATCTACAAGAAAATGTATTTAGTGAAATTTCTAAAATTTTGTTGAAAATTGGTGGAAAATTGGTGTTATTTTGCATATTTTTGAATATTTCAAAGGACGATTCTGGGAAAACCATTAGAGTTTTCGATTAAATGAAAACGGATATGACTTCTGCCGCCCGAAATATACAAGAAAATATGTTAAGTGAAATTTCGAAAATTTTGTTGATAATTGGTGGAAAATTGGGGTTATTTTGTATATTTTTGAATATTTCAAAGGACGATTCTGGGAAAACCATTGGAGTTATCGAAGAAATGAAAACGGATATGTCATCTCCAGCCGAAATCTACAAGAAAATCTATTTAGTGAAATTTAGAAAATTTTATTGAAAATTGGTCGATTATTGGGGGTAATTTGCATATTTTTGAATATTTCAAAGGACGATTCTGGGAAAACCATTAGAGTTATCGAAGAAATGAAAAGGGATATGACTTCTGCAGCCCGAAATCTACAAGGAAATGTATTAAGTAAAACTTCGAAAATTTTGTTGAAAATTGGTGGAAAATTGGGGTTATTTTGCATATTTTTGAATATTTCAAAGGACGATTGTGGGAAAGCCATTGGAGTTATCGAAGAAATGAAAACGGATATGACTTTTGCGGCCCTAAATCTCCAAGAAAATGTATTAAGTGAAATTTCGAAAATTTTGTTGAAAATTGGTGGAAAATTGGGGTCGTTTTGCATATTTTTGAATATTTCAAAGGACGATTCTGGGAAAACCATTGGAGTTATCGAAGAAACGAAAACGGATATGACATCTGCGGCCCGAAATCTACAAAAAAATGTATTAAGTGAAATTTCGAAAATTTTGTTGAAAATTGATGGAAAATTGGGATTATTTTGCATATTTTTGAATATTTCTAAGAACGATTCTGGGAAAACCATTGGAGTTATCGAAGAAATGAAAACGGATATGACTTCTGCGGTCCGAAATCTACAAGAAAACGTATTAAGTGAAATTTCGAAAATTTTGTTGAAAATTGGTGGAAAATTTGGGTTATTTTGCATATTTTTGAATATTTCAAAGCACGATTCTGGGAAAACCATTAGAGTTATCGAAGAAATGAAAACGGATATGACTTCTGCGGCCCGAAATCTACAAGAAAACGTATTAAGTGAAATTTCGAAAATTTTGTTGGAAATTTGTGGAAAATTGGGGTTATTTTGCATATTTTTGAATATTTCAAAGCACGATTCTGGGAAAACCATTAGAGTTATCGAAGAAATGAAAACGGATATGACTTCTGCGGCCCGAAATCTACAAGAAAACGTATTAAGTGAAATTTCGAAAATTTTGTTGGAAATTTGTGGAAAATTGGGGTTATTTTGCATATTTTTGAATATTTCAAAGGACGATTCTGGGAAAACCATTGGAGTTATCGAAGAAATGAAAACGGATATCTCTTCTGCGGCCCGAAATCTACAAGAAAATGTATTAAGTAAAATTTCGAAAATTTTGTTAAAAATTGGTGGAAAATTGGGTTTATTCTGCTTATTTTTGAATATTTGAAAAGACGATTTTGGGAAAACAAACAACAAAAAAAATAGTCAGAAAGGTGACAAAAAGTCCAAAATAAATGCTACAAAAAACTTGAAAAAAAATAACAAAAACTACAAAAAAACGACATAAAAATAGGTGACAAGGAAAACAGTAAAAAACTGATAAAAGACGACAAAAAAGTTAAAAAAATACCAAGCAAACAAAAAGGATGACAAAAAAACTCTAAGAAAAAAAGACAGAAAAATTAAATTAAAGATTGCAGAAAAACTACAAAAAACTTGAAAAAAGACAAAAAACGAAAACCAACGACATAAAATCGCAAGGAAAATGGAAAAGAAAATAAAAGACGACAAAAAAGTTAAAAAAAAAGTATCAAAAAATAAAAAAAAAGACAAAAAAAAGGAACCAAAAAATGGAACAAATAAGAAAAACTGCAAAAGAAACGACATAAAAATAGGCCACAAACAAGTTTAACAAAATACGAAAAATCAAAACCAATGAGAGAAAACGCTAGAAAAACCACTGGAAAATGAAAAAAATAGCAAAATATAAAACGACAAAAGTATAAGGAGTCAAAAAGCTGACGAAAAAAAGGCAAAAAAAAAGCGACAAAAAACTTGAAAAAACAACAAAAACGGCAAAAAAACGACATAAAAATAGGCGACAATGAAAAAAGTAAAAAACTAGTAGAAGGCGACAAAAGAGTTAAAAAAAACAAAAACGGAAAAAACGACATAAAACTAGACAATGAAAAAATTTTAAAAAAACTACAAAAAAAAGCAACAGAATAGGCAAAAAATAAATAGAAAAAAAAACTAAAAAACGGAGAGTCGAAAAAACAAAAAAGGCGACGAAAAAGTTTAAACAAACACCACGAAATTCAACAAAAAAGAAAAATAAGACGCCATAAAACCAGTACAAAGAAGAACACAAAAAATGGGACAAGCAAAAATGAGTGAAAAAGTCGACAAAAAAAATTAAAAAAAAGTCAAAAAAGCTACAAAAGGGGAGGATAAAAAACGAGGAGTCAAATTAACGTCAATAAAACATAACGACAAAAATGAATAACCAAGAAAAGCGACACAAAAGATGGGCAAAAAAACAAGCAATGTGATAAAAAAAATCAGGAAAAAAAGGACCAACAAAAAAAAAGATGACAAACAAGTGACAAAGAAAAGGTGACAAAAAACTAAAAATAAAGCTAACCAAAAAAAACGAGAAAAATGGAACTCAAAAGAACGAAACAAAAGGCAGCAATAAAAGTTGGAGAAAATGTCAAAAACCAAAAAAAAAGTGACAAAAAACCACAAAAAATCAAACAGAAAAAACTACAAAAAACGACTAAAAAAAGGGAGTAAAAAACGACAAAAAAGGGGAAGCAGAAAAGACAACAAAAAAGCGACAAGAAACGTCAGAAAAACAAGCGTTGGTGGGGTCGTTTTGGATGTTTGGAGGGGTATTTATGGGCGTGTCAATCGTTTTCATTAGTCTATCTTAGTTGGGCGTGTCTTGCTTGAGCTAAGCACGCTAGTTAGGCTCGCGATTTTAGTATTTTTTAGACTTAGGCACGCACTGTGAGCAGTGGTTTAAGCACGAGTGTAAGAAGAAAACTCAGGTTAAGACGACAAAAAGTTAAGAAAATAATGCCAAAAAAAGAAGAAAAGGGGTAAAAAACGAAGAGGGACAAAGGGGAAAAGGTGACCAAAAAAAGACAAAAAGAATAATAATAATTTATTTATGTATTTACGGAAAGTGTCAACTACATAAACAAAATAGTAAATCCATATAAACAAAATATAAATTCAATAAAAACAAAATAACTTAAGTACACAACAAATGATTTCCTCATCAGACGTCTAAACTCATTTTTAGAGACACAATAGAAATCTGTAGTTCATTTTTTAATGGCGTGGACAAAATTATGCAACATATTATACACATACACGTAGATACGTAGGTACTAAGGGTAACATTGATTACTATATTTTCGATTCGAATAAAATGTGTGATCCAGAATTACATGTTAAAATAAATAAAACAAAAAATGTTAGGTTAGAATTTTTCATTTTTCAAATTGACTTTATAATGTCAATGTTGACATTTATTTTGTTTTGCAAAACATACACTGATTCAAAATTATTTAACATAAATAAAGTTGTCGGGTTAACTGTGAAACGTGTATTTTGGATTGAGTGAATATTTCCACGCCCGTAAAAAATAAACCAAGTAACTAGATTGTTGCACCAGACAAACCATTATAGACCCTCGGCGTGCAAAAAGGCATCCTGTAGATACTTACGACGCTGAAGAACAACTTCTGAGCAGGTTATTTACCAAGATTATCTTCGCCATTTTGCCGCTTACATCCTTGAACACACTCCGCCATTTTATCTCATATAAACCTTGACCTGAAACCTGGTATGCCAGTCTGATTGTAGCTGGATCCAATAAAACACCAACACTTATCAAAAAATATAATCTATCGAATTTGATTTTTTTTAAAGAAAATTTGTACACTTATAGAAAATAATTCGGTAGACTAAACAACTATAAATTGCTTCAACTAAAATCGAAACGTCGACATTGCAGAATTTACAGATTAAAATTGTATTTTCAAATTAACACTAATGTAATTATAACCATTAGAATTTGACTTGTTTAAAAACATAAAATCACTGTATTCTTAAATTAAAATCTGCAATTGTACACTTTTCATCTCCGCCGGTCTTTCGACCTCTCCCTTATGTCTTTTTCGTGCTTGGACTTCTTATATTTATCCCGATCTTCCCTACTCGAGTACTTATCCTCCTTCTCTTTATACTTGTCGTCCCTATCGTACTTCTTCTCACTTTTGTCATGCCGCTCCTTCTTCTCCTCGTACCTCTCTTTCTCCACGTACCTCTCCCTCTCCCGCTCCTCCTTCCCGCTATACCTCTCCTTCTCGTACCTGTCGTTCTTCTCGTACTTCTCGTACCTATCTATGTACCGCTCGTTTTTACTATCCCTATCGTTACTCGGCGACGTCGAGCGCCGCTTCTCCCGCCCCTTCCTCGACGTTTTATGCGGCGAGTTACTCCTCGACCTCGAGTAGCTCCTCCTTTTGTGGTTCTTTTTGTGGTTCCTGCTCGCCGACCGACTCCTCGACCTGTGCTTTTTCGACCTCTTGTGGTTGTGTTTACTAACCGGACTATGGCTCGCCGAGCGCGACCTCGACCTCTTCTCCGAGACGGGGGGCGCTATGTGGCTCCCCGAGCGACTGATGAACCCGCCCCACGCGTTGTGCGCCCCCGCGGTCTTCTGGGCGTTGGGACTGGACGAGTCGTTATTTGGCGTGTTGTTCCCCGAATTCCCCCTGGCTTTGACCCTGGCGTCGTGGTACTGCTTGCACAGTTCCTCGACTTTCTTCTCGAGGTGCTCGATGTTTGGCTGAAACGGGAGGTTAGTACTTTGAGGCTGGAATCGTGGGCGTTACCTTTGGTCTGTTGTACAATTTCAATATCCTAATCGCTATATCCCTGATTTCCGTTTCGGTGGCACCAAAAATCGAGTACCAGGACGGGTTTTTCGGTAAGGGCAATTGCAGCTTGCGAGCGGTTAAATAAATACACGCGCACGCCACTGTCTCCGGCTGGTACCGAACGAACGCGTCGGTCCGCAACGAGTCGTTCATGTAATTCCAGGAGTATTGCATTAGTTTTTGGTTTTTCTCGTAGCCGAGGACCTGCAGGTACATGACGATTATCTGGAAAAGAGGGGGATGTAGAAGAGGTGGCTGGGGGACGCAGTCGGGAGATATCCTACCGACTGCGCCTTTAATGAAGACGTGAACAATTTTATATTAAAAAATACACTGGAAAATGCAATTTTTTTTTTTGGAATCGTGTCAAATCCAAAATATAACAGTAGTATAACGAAAATTACTCTGGTGTCTCTATAATTTGGTAAAAACTCCATTTAAAATTCGTTTTTCGCGCCAAATCAATACCACATAGGTCTGAGTTATAGCCCGTTTACCGAACAGATGGAGTGCCTAACATTCAGGTGAACTTTTAAAACCCTGATGTTATAATTATAACAAATCCAGTTTTTTTAGAGGTATCTACGAAAAAAGGGGTAGGTATAAAAAAAAACTGCGAAAAAACGAGACCAAAAACGACGAAAGGGGGAAAAGACAAAAAAACACAAAAAACTTGCAAACATACCAGAAGAAAACAGCTACAAAAGAGGTAACCTATAAATCAAATAAATCGAGGCAGATTCATAAACCACAAGTTTAAGATTTAAATAGTACTACTAAGCAACCTTTTTAGGTAACGTCATCAAATAGTTGATGGGGATAATCAAACAAATTTTAGTTGTCGTTTTACCATTTACACGATATTCCTAAAATACAAGTTTTGATTTGCAATTTTTCACTCTTGCAATTTTTCGAAATTACAGTTTGTCATTTTTCGATTTTTTAATTTTTCGTTTCTCCAAATTTTCAAGTTCTTGATTTTTGGTTCATTTTCCCAATTTTATATCACAATTTTTCGTTTTTTCATTTCCTTTAATTTTATAATTTGGAATTTTTTTATTTTTCAACTTCCTATTTTTTTTCTTCAATTTTTCAAATTCCGATTTTCTGATTTTTCAATTTTTAGAAATTGATTTTTCGCTCTTTCAAGTTATACATTTTTCAGTTTTTTAAATTTTTAATTTTTTAATTTTTGGGTTTTTCAAATTTTCAGCTTTTTAATTTTTCGCTTTTTTAATTTGACAATTTTTCGGCTCCTATATTTTTCGTTGATCCGATTTTTCAAGTACTTTATTTTTGTTTTACATTTTTCCGATTTTTTAATTTTCATTTTCCTGATTTTATATCACAATTTTTCGTTTTTCCATTTCCCTTATTTTTCAATGTTTCTTTAGATTTTATAATTTTGAACTTTTTACTGTATCAATTTCCCCAAGGGTTTGGGGACCTTTGAATTTTTCAAATTTCCTTTTCTTCAACTTTCCGATTTGAAATTTTTCACTGTTGCAATTTTGCGATATTACAATTTTTCTTTTTTCGATTTTTCAATCTTTCAAGTTCTTGGTTTTTATTTTCCCGATTTTATATCACAATTGGTCGTTTTTTCATTTCCTTTATTTTTCAACGTTTCTTAGATTTTGTAATGTGGAATTTTTTAATTTTTCAACTTCCCATTTGTTATTTTTTGAATTTTACAATTTCCAATTTTCCGATTTTTGAATTTTTAGAAATTTGTTTTTCCCTCTTTCAAGTTTTAGATTTTTTAGTTGCTCCATTTTTAATTTTTTAATTTTCGGGTTTTCCAAATTTTCGGTTTATTAATTTTTCGATTTTTTAATTTGACAATTTTGTTATTTTTAAATTTTTCTGCTCCTATATTTTTCGTTGGTGCAATTTTTCAAGATCTTTATTTTTGTTTTACATTTTTCCGATTTTTTAATCTTCATTTTCCTTATTTTATATCACAATTTTTCGTTTTTTCATTTTCTTTTCTTTTCAATGTTTCTGTAGATTTTACAGTTTGGAATTTTTTAGTTTTTCAATGTCCCATTTATTATTTCTTGAATTCAATATCCAATTTTCCGATTTTTGAATTTTTAGAAATCTGTTTATCCCTCTTTCAAGTTTTAGATTTTTCAGTTGCTCGATTTTTAATTTTTGAATTTTTGGGTTTTCCAAATTTTCGGTTTTTTAATTTTTCGACATTTCAATTTATAGATTTTTTAATTTGTCAATTTTGCTATTTTTCAATTTTTCTGCTCCTGTATTTTCCGGTGGTCCGATTTTTCAAGATCTATATTTTTGTTTTACATTTTCCGATTTTTTCATTTCCATTTTCCTGATTTTATATTACAATTTTTCGTTTTTCCATTTCCCTTATTTTTCAATGTTTCTTCAGATTTTATAATTTTGAACTTTTTACTTTATCGATTTCCCCAAGGTTTTTGGAACCTTCGAATTTTTTAAAATTTTCAAATTTCCGTTTCTTCAATTTTTCGATTTGAAATTTTTCACTGTTGCAATTTTTCGATAATACAATTTTTCATTTTTCGATTTTTCAATCTTTCAAGTTCTTGATTTTTATTTTCCATTTTCCCGATTTTAATTTTTGATTTTACCGATTTAATATCACAATTTTTCGTTTTTTCCTTTCCTTTATTTTTCAATGTTTATTTAGATTTTATAATTTGGAATTTTTTAATTTTTCAATTTCCCATTTATTATTTCTTGAATTTTTCAATAACAATTTTCCGATTTTTGATTTTTTAAAAATTGGTTTTTGCTCTTTCAAGTTTTAGATTTTTCAGTTGCTCGATTTTTAAATTTTTAATTTTTTAATTTTTGAGTTTTCCAAATTTTCGGTTTTTTAATTTTTCTATTTTTCAATTTGTACATTTTTTAATTTGACAATTTTACTATTTTTAAACTTTTCAGCTCATATTTTTCAATTTTACAATTTGCGATTTTCTAATTTTATAATTTACTGCGTGTTACCGAAATTTCAATTTCAATTCTTAAATTTTTGCAGTTTTCAATTTTTAATTTTTTAATATTTGGGCTCTTGGAATATTTGAATTTTTCAAAATTTAAAATTTTCATTTCAATTTTTCGATTTGCAATTTTTCTATATTACAATTTTTCATTTTCCAGATTTTATATCACAATTTTCCGTTTTTCCATTTCCTTTACTTTTCAATGTTTATTTAGATTTTATAATTTGGAATTTTTTAATTTTTCAATTTCCCATTTATTATTTCTTGAATTTTTCAATATCCAATTTTCCAATTTTTGAATTTTTAAAATTGGTTTTTGCTCTTTCAAGTCTTAGATTTTTCAGTTGCTCGATTTTTAAATTTTTAATTGTTAAATTTTCGGGTTTTCCAAATTTTCGGTTTTTTAATTTTTCGATTTTTCAATTTATACATTTTTTAACTTGACAATTTTTTATTTTTAAATTTTTCAGCTCCTATAATTTTCGTTGGTCCTATTTTTCAAGTTCTTTATTTCTATTTTACATTTTTCCGATTTTTTAATTTTTATGTTCCTGATTTAATATCACAATGTTTCGTTTTTCTATTTCCTTTATTTTTCAATGTTTCTTCAGATTTTATAATTTGCAACTTTTTACTTTATCAATTTCCCCAAGGTTTTTGGAACCTTTGAATTTTTCAAATTTCCGTTTCTTCAATTTTTCGATATTACAATTTTCCATTTTTCGAGTTTTCAGTTTCGCAATTTTTTATTTTTCGATTTTTCATTTTCCCGATTTTATATCACAATCTTTCGTTTTTTCATTTCCTTTAATTTTCAATGTTTATTTAGATTTTATAATTTGGAATTTTTTAATTTTTCAACTTCCATTTATAATTTCTTGAATTTTTCAATATCCAATTTTCGGATTTTTAATTTTTTTAATTTTCGGGTTTTCCAAATTTTCGATTTTTTAATTTTTCGATTTTTCAATTTATACATTTTTTAACTTGACAATTTTTTATTTTTAAATTTTTCAGCTCCTATAATTTTCGTTGATTCGATTTTTCAACTTCTTCATTTTTGTCTTACATTTTTCCGATTTTTTAATTTTCATCTTCTTGATTTTATATCACAATTTTTCGTTTTTCCAGTTCCCTTACTTTTCAATGTTTCTTTAGATTTTATAAATTTGAACTTTTTACTTTATCGATTTCCCCAAGGTTTTTGGAACCTTTGAATTTTTCAAATTTCCGTTTCTTCAATTTTTCGATATTACAATTTTCCATTTTTCGAGTTTTCAGTTTCGCAATTTTTTATTTTTCGATTTTTCATTTTCCCGATTTTTTATCACAATTTTTCGTTTTTTCATTTCCTTTAATTTTCAATGTTTATTTAGATTTTATAATTTGGAATTTTTTAATTTTTCAACTTCCATTTATAATTTCTTGAATTTTTCAATATCCAATTTTCGGATTTTTAATTTTTTTAATTTTCGGGTTTTCCAAATTTTCGATTTTTTAATTTTTCGATTTTTCAATTTATACATTTTTTAACTTGACAATTTTTTATTTTCAAATTTTTCAGCTCCTATAATTTTCGTTGGTCCTATTTTTCAAGTTCTTTATTTTTGTTTTGCATTTTTCCGATTTTTTAGTTTTCATTTTCCTGATTTTATATCACAATTTTTCGTCTTTCCATTTCCTTTATTTTTTAATGTTTCTTTAGATTTTATAATTTTGAACTTTTTACTTATCAATTTCCCCAGGGTTTTTGGAACCTTTGAATTTTTCAAATTTTCAAATTTCCGTTTCTTCAATTTTTCAATATTGCAATTTTTCATTTTACGATGTTTCAGTTTCGCAATTTTTTATTTTTCCATTTTTCAATCTTTCAAGTTCTTGATTTTTATTTTTCATTTTCCCGATTTTTTAATTTTTGGTTTTTTTGATTTCCTTTATTTTCCAATGTTTATTTAGATTTTATAATTTGGATTTTTTTAATTTTTCAACTTCAGATTTATTATTTCTTGAATTTTTCAAAATCCAATGTAGATTTTTCAGTTGCTATTACTATTTTGTTTTTTAAATCTCTAAATTGACGTATGTAAAACACTGTAGTGTTGTTAACATGAATAAAGAATTGAATTGAATTGAATTGAATTGAATAATTTTTCCGATTTTTGAATTTTCCGTTTCTTCAATTTTTCTAATTCTTGATTTTTATTTTATATTTTTCCGAATTTTTAATTTTCATTTTCCTGATTTTATATTACAATTTTTCATTTTTCCATTTGCTGTATTTTTTAATGTTTTATAGATTTTGTAATTTGGAACTTTTTAATTCTTCAATTTTTCAATTTCCAATTTTCCGATTTTTGAATTTATAGCAATTTATTTTTCGTTCATTCAAGTTTTAGATTTTTAAGTTGCTCGATTTTTAAATTTTTAATTTTTGGGTTTTCCAACTTTTCGGTTTTTTAATTTATGGATTTGTCAGTTTGTAAATTTTTTAATCTGACAATTCTGCAATTTTTAAATTTTTCAGCTCCTTATTTTTCAATTTTACAATTTTTGGATTTTCTAATTTTACAATTTTTCCAGTTTGCAATTTTTAAATTTTTAAGATTTTGGTTTTTGGAAAATCTGAATTTTTTTAATTTTCAAATTTTCTTTTCTTCAGTTTTTCGTTATTACAATTTTTCATTTTTCGATTTTTCAATTTCGCAATCTTTAATTTTTCGAATTTATAATTTGTTTATTCAGTTCTTCAAAATTATCCAATTTACGGATTTTTCATTTCGATTATTTCGATTTTACAATATTTCGTGTTCTTGATTTTGGAGTTTTTCGGTTTTGAATTTTCTAAATTTTTAATATTTCGATTTTTTAATTTTTCTTTCTTCAATTTTTCAAACTCTTAATTTCCAATTTTTAGAATTTTCAAAGTTTTATTTTATACTTTTTTCAATTATACAATTTGCAATTTTTCCATTTTTTTTTTTTATTTGAAAAATCGAAAAGCTGACAAATCGAAAAAGTGGAAAATTACAGATCGGAGAATGTAAAATATGAAGAAACCCAAAAACTGTAAAATCAAAAAAAATTCAAATAATCAAAATTGTAAAGTCGAAAAACTGTAACATAGAAAGGTCAAAAAATTGAAAAAATACAAAAGCGGTCCAAAAAACGACCAAAAAAAAACAAAAATAGGTATAAAAACGAAAAAGGGGAAGTAAAAAAGCCAGAAAACAAAGGACGACAAAAAATAGAGACAAAAAAAAAGAAGCCAACAAAATCTACAAAAAAGAGCCACCAAAAGTTGACAAAAAAATAAAAACCAACCAAAAAATGGTGACAAAAAAACTGGAAAATAACTGACAAAAAAAAGATCATAAAAAATCGACGAAAAAAAAAAGCAACAAATTGCCAGAAAAAAAAAACACAAAAAAGATGGTGACAAAACACCACGAAAGTGTTGATAAAAAAAATCGAGTAAAAAAAAAGGGAGAACAAAAATGCGATAAAAAACTGCGACAAAAAGGGGAACCAAAAGAAAATAAAAAAGGCCAAAAAGCTACAAAAATATTAAAAAACGGAGATAAAAAAGAACGACAAAAAACAACAAACGAGCAAAAAATAGACAAAAAATGACAAAAATGGAGACAGAAAATTGACAAAAAAAGCACAAAAATACGATTACAACAAAAAGACTAAAAAAGTGGCAAAAATTGTTTTGAATCATACTATATAATATTGCTATTTCAAAAAGAAAAAAATATCAGACGCATTTATAAACAGGCAAAAATATTTTCAAACATTTCGCCGAAGTTTCTTTAGACGTAAAACGCACGTGATCACTCCATCTTCTCGGTGAACGGACTGTAGTCCCCAACAATATCCGTAAATCTGTAGTACAGTATTGCTAATAGAATGAGTGAAGACTGAGCAAGAGATGGGTAAGTTAATTAATTATTGATCCAAAATAGTGTAAATAATTGATACCAATTATAAATTTTCATAAAACAGTATTTTGATTTTTTGTTCTTCTGGCAGCTTTCCGGATGCTTTGGTTCCTTCTAGCTTATATAATAAAATTGAAAAGGCTATCAACAGTATCCAGAGTAGCAATAACGTCATTAAAGCAAACCCAAAGGACGAATGTGATTAATAACTTAGGGAAAACCATCTCAGTTGTAATATTACGCAGTACAATTTATTCTCCAAAATTTCATCATCTTAAACTACTTTGAAAAACTTCATAAAATTTGTGTATACCAATCAATAAAAACAATAATTAAATTATTATTATTATTGTTGTTACCTTATGCGGATGCTTGATGTGGACGCAGAAGCCGAGCTCCTTCAAGACCCTCCTCTCAGCTTTGATAACGAGATTTTTCAATTGGATATAGTTAACGTCCAGTATCACAGGCTGTATAGGTCTGCACATATTCAAGAAAAGAAAAAAACACAAGTTGAAACACCGTCAATTACAGTTCTCCGACGTAAGCTATACGAGTGGAGAAGTGCAATTCGGAGCAGAAAATAAACAAATGAAACGAAAAGTAAGCCATCAACTTAAAAAAAAAATGTGATCTATTCAAGAGCAAAAATGGTGATCAAGTTTAATTTGTTTATTGAACTCCAAATTACATTCGGACAACATCAATACGAAGCATTATTAAACTAGATCCACCATTTTCTGTCGCCGCCATTACCTGTGTCTCGCTCGTTCCACAAACAAACACAATTTTATTTATTTACTTATGGTCCATGCGCACCAAATCGAGACGATTGGTGACCTACAATAAACATAACCTCACAAATTAGTACTATAGTCGTTCTACTTCAATCGATCATTTTTTTCTTCTCTCTTCTCGCTCTTCGTTACCCTCGTCGTCGCAATGCATGCCTCGGTGCTTGTTGGATTCGCCGACCGAACAAACCCGAACCGAAAGCGCCGGCGTCCAATAAGAACCGGACACATGCATTGCCTCCATAGACCGTCACACAATCATGGACGGCCGTGTCTGTGTCTGTCTGTGCATTTCTAGCAGATTCATGTCTGTGTGGTATTAAGGATCCCACTCAGCGCCATGAAGATTATGGGGGACAGAGGCCCTATTGGAGCCATTTGTAGCCTCTGTAAATTAACAACAACATATTGAGTATCTCCTTTGTTCCCATATCAGCAGTAGCAACCGAGTAAACTTTTTTTTTTTTTTTTCAAAAAACGATCGCTTCTGGTCGCGCGGCCAGAATCGATCGCCACAAAACAAAAAATTATCGAACAATCATCGAAGTGGTTTGGTAAAAAAATAAACACTTTCAAAATTGATATTTACCTTGAGGAATCTCTACAGTCTACGAGCTTTTTTATCGGAGTAGATCGGTTTTGTTTCGAGTTAGTTAATGCTTTTTTAGTTTTGCTCGTTCCGAAGGCTTCCGATGGACGGAAACGCTGCGAAACTCCGTTAGGAAACGCTCGATGCTTAGAAAATCGATCTGACCGGCAGAAGAATGGTCTGTGTGCAGGTTGGATCGAGTCATTTCAACGTAAATTTGTTCGTGACGTCATTTATTTTAAGTTCTGTCATACGCAATTTTTTGTGTGAGATGACGTCATCGATTTTGTGCAGCGAATGAACAAATCGTTTGAAAAACCTCTAAATTTTAGATCAAGTTTTTACTACTCGAACTAACACTAATCAGAGTATGTAGAAATATTCAGACTGTCATAAACTATATTTGCTTATCCCCTCCAAAAAATTGATGACGTCAGCTCAAAATTTTGCCGAATAAATTCTACCTAAAATGTCCAAAATATGATGAGTCTCTACTTGTGATTTATGATTCCATTCCTATTTTTGGATTTGCTTATACAGGTTTCACAGCAAGAAACTTAAAAAATGTTCCTCCGGTAAATTTTGTGGATTTTGTAATTAAACTCTGCCCCTCGATCTGACAACAAATGAAAAATTTATCCCAATTAAGGTAGGGGTGGGTGGGTGGGGCTTATTTATTTGCTTCTTTTTTTAATATATTTAGTTTTTTCCGCGACACGTACTTAACATATGTTTCACACGGTAATTTTTTGTAGAGAAATAAGGATTTTGCAATTAAGCGCCGCCTCCGGCTCACAACGACTAAAAAAATTATCACAATTGAGATGGGGGCGCGTGGGCGGGGCTTATATTTAGCCCTTAATTATGATTATTTTTTTTATTCGTGGGAAGCTTAGCAAAATCCTAATTTATATACAAGAAATTACCATGTGGCACGTTTCAAGTATCTTGTTGTTGAAAGAAATTATATATTAAAAGAAGCCGACGACTAAAGCCCGCCCACCCACCCATATCTCGGTTGTGATGAATTTTTCATTCGTTATCACTTCCAGGGGCGGAGCTTAATTGCAAAATCCATATCTGTCTACAAAAATTTACCATTTTAAACATGTTTTGAAGTTTCTGGCTGTGAAAAATTTACTACGTATATTAAGGAAATAAAAAGGCTACATATAAGCACCGCCCACCCGACCTCATCTCAATTATGATGTTTTTTTTTAAATCGTCGTGAATTGGAGGCGGAGCTTAATTGCAAAATTCTTATTTTTTTTTCCAAGAAATTGCCATGTAAAACATATTTTAAGAATCGTGTTGGTGGAAGACAACTGTATATACATATTTAGAAAAAGAAGTGAAAGATTAAGCCCCGCCCACATCTCGGTTGTGATGAATTTTTCATTCGTTATCACTTCCAGGGGCGGAGCTTAATTGCAAAATCCATATTTGTCTACAAAAATTTACCATTTCAAACACGATTTAAGTTTCTGGCTGCGAAAAAATTACTACGTATATATTAAGGAAAAAAAAAGCACCGCCCACATCTCAATTGTGATCTTTTCTTTAAATCGTCGTGAATCAGAGGCGGAGCTTAATTGCAAAATTCTTATTTTTTCCAAGAAATTACCATGTGAAATATATTTTAAATATCGTGTTGGTGGAAGAAAACTGTATATACACATTTAGAATGAGAAGTAAATGATTAAGCCCCGCCCACCCGCCCATATCTCAATTGTGATGAATTTTTTTATTCGTTATCACATCAAGGGGCGGAGCTTAACTGCAAAATTATTAATTTTTCTAAGAAATTACCATATGAAATATATTTTAAGTATCGTGTTGGTGGAAGACAACTGTATATACATATTTAGAAAAAGAAGTGAAAGATTAGGCCTCGCCCACATCTCGGTTGTGATCAATTTTTCATTCGTTATCACATCAAGAGGTGGAGCTTAATTGCAAAATCCATATTTGTCTACAAAAATTTACCATTTTAAACATGTTTCTAAGTTTCTGACTGAAAAAATGATTACGTATATATTAAGGGAAAAAAAAGGCTACATATAAGCACCGCCCATCCGCCCTCATCTCAATTGTGTAGTTTCTTTTTTAATGGTCGTGAATCGGAGGCGGAGCTTAATTGCAAAATTCTTATTTTTTCCAAAAAATTACCACATGAAACATATTTTAAGCATCGTGTTCGTGGAAGAAAACTATATACAGATATTTAGAAAAAGACGTGAATGATTAAGCCCCGCCCACCCGCCCATTGCACAGTTGTGATGAATTTTTCATTTGTTGTCACATCCAGGGGCGGGGCTTAATTGCAAAATCCATATTCGTCCACAAAAATTTACCATTTTAAACATGTTTCTAAGTTTCTAACTGTGAAAAAATGATTACGTATATATTAAGGGAAAAAAAAGGCTACATATAAGCACCGCCCACCCACCCTCATCTCAATTGTTTAGTTTCTTTTTTAATGGTCGTGAATCGGAGGCGGAGCTTAATTGCAAAATTCTTATTTTTTCCAAGAAATTACCACATGAAACATATTTTAAGCATCGTGTAGGTGGAAGAAAACTATATACAGATATTTAGAAAAAGAAGTGATTGATTAAGCCCCGCCCACCCGCCCATTACTCAGTTGTGATGAATTTTTCATTCGTTATTACATCCAGGGGCGGAGCTTAATTGTAAAATCCATATTTATCTATAAAAATTTACCACTTTAAACATATTTTTAAGTTTCTGACTGTGAAAAAATGATTACGTATATATTTAGGAAAAAAAAGGCTACATATAAACACCGCCCATCCGCCCTCATCTCAAATGTCTAGTTTCTTTTTTAATGGTCGTGAATCGGAGGCGGAGCTTAATTGCAAAATTCTTATTTTTTCCAAGAAATTACCACATGAAACATATTTTAAGCATCGTGTAGGTGGAAGAAAACTATATACAGATATTTAGAAAAAGAAGTGAATGATTAAGCCCCGCCCATATCTCAGTTGTGATGAATTTTTCATTCGTTGTCACATCAAGGGGCGGAGCTTAATTGCAAAATCCGTATTTGTCTACAAGAATGTACCATTTTAAACATGCTTTTAAGTTTCTGGCTGTAAAAAATTATTACGTATATATTAAGGGAAAAAAAAGGCTACATATAAGCACCGCCCATCCGCCCTCATCTCAATTGTGTAGTTTCTTTTTTAATGGTCGTGAATCGAAGGCGGAGCTTAATTGCAAAATTCTTATTTTTTCCAAGTAATTACCATATGAAACATATTTTAAGCATCGTGTTCGTGGAAGAAAAAAAGAAGTGAATGATTAAGCCACGCCCACCCGCCCATATCTCAGTTGTGATGAATTTTTCATTCGTTATCACATCCAGGGGCGGAGCTTAATTGCAAAATCCATATTTGTCTACAAAAATTTACCATTTTAAACATGTTTCGAAATTTCTGACTGTGAAAAAATGATTACGTATATATTAAGGAAAAAAAAAGGCTACATGTAAGCACCGCCCATCCGCCCTCATCTCAATTGTGTAGTTTCTTTTTTAATGGTCGTGAATCGGAGGCGGAGCTTAAATGCAAAATTCTTATTTTTTCCAAGAAATTACCATGTGAATAATATTTTAAGCATCGCGTTTGTGGAACAAAACTATATATAGATATTTAGAAAAAGAAGTGAATGATTAAGCCCCGCCCACCCGCCCATTACTCAGTTGTGATGAATTTTTCATTCGTTATCACATCCAGGGGCGGAGCTTAATTGCAAAATCCATATTTGTCTCTAAAAATTTACCATTTTAAACATGTTTTTAAGTTTCTGGTTGTGAAAAAATGACTCCGTATATTAAAGGGAAAAAGGCTAAATATAAGCACCGCCCACCCAACCTCATCTCAATTGTGTAGTTTCTTTTTTAATGGTCATGAATCGGAGGCGGAGCTTAATTGCAAAATTCTTATTTTTTCCAAGAAATTACCATATGAAACATATTTTAAGCATCGCGCTCGTGGAAGAAAACTATATACAGATATTTAGAAAAAAAAGTGAATGATTAAGCCCCGCCCACCCGCCCATTACTCAGTTGTGATGAATTTTTCATTTGTTGTCACATCCAGGGGCGGGGCTTAATTGCAAAATCCATATTTGTCTACAAAAATTTACCATTTTAAACATGTTTCGAAGTTTCTGACTGTGAAAAAATGATTACGTATATATTAAGGAAAAAAAAAAGGCTACATATAAGCATCGCCCACCCGCCTTCATCTCAATTGTGTAGTTTCTTTTTCAATGGTCGTGAATCGGAGGCGGACCTTAATTGCAAAATTCTTATTTTTTCCAAGAAATTACCACATGAAACATATTTTAAGCATCGTGTTCGTGGAAGAAAACTATATACAGATATTTAGAAAAAGAAGTAAATGATTAAGCCCCGCCCACCCGCCCATATCGCATTTGTAATGAACTTTTCAATTATTATAACATTGAGGGGCGGAGCTTAATTGCAAAATCAAAAAATTGATAAATGCGTGAATTTATTTGATTGATTTATTGATGTTTTAAAGCATCTTAAGCATTGTAAATTTGTTATCAAAATGTATTTGCCCATCCCCCCTAAAAAATTGATAACGTCACCTCAAAATATTGCTAAATAAATCCGATCTTAAATGTGCAAAATAGGATGAGTCTATACTTGTGATTTTTCACTAAATTAATATTTTTTAGATTTGCTTATACGGGGTATCTCAAAAAAATTAATGAAATACTGTTATTCCTTGAAAATCTGGATATGTTTCATTGTACTCACAACTTTCGACAAAATTTATTTTCTAGTTTTAATTATTAATGAAATGAGACATCAAAGACCGCGAGCTCAGTGACTCACCCTGTACATTCATCTCCTACAAAAAAAAAAAACGATGATATCATCACAACTTTGATAAGGAAATCTCAGTTGGATTTTTTTTAATTCTTATCTCTTCATGTCATTTTTTAATGGAAAAGTGGAACAAATTTTCGTGTCACTGAAAGTGGTATTTTTTCATAACTCGTTTATTTTATTAAATTAACTGTGGAAGAAAAAGCGTTACGTTGGTTAGTTTTTTTACAACAAAAATGAGAGTACTATTTAAACAATTTTAGCCGAGTTTTTCAGTATTTGAATACAATGTAAATTCAATGATTTGTAATTTTAGTTTAACAAACACAGCCAACTACAAGCACGGAAGTTTTTAACAATGCACAGCCAACTGCAAACAAACTTTTTTACTACACCACCACCACCAAACCAACGAAAAGCGCACGAACGGTAACAATTGAAACAAAATTTGGTCTTCACACAAAAACTGGTGACGTTTTGTCCAAATTTAACTATAGTCATCCATTTTTGTTTAAAATTTTCTACATACTGTTGACAGTTGAACTGTCACTTTAGCTCAAAACCACAACTCACTAGATTTACAATAATGACTCTGATTAGTGTGTTTGATTTGTTAAAAATCCAACCTGCACACTCTGCCTCATCCCCTAGTCTACCAATTCCGACAATCCATCTAACCCATGAAAATTGCGCCATGATGGGCATTGAGACACCACCAGTTCCGTCCTTTCGGCACGTGGGACTGTATCAAGGCACACCACGGCCCAATTTCCGCGCTGCTCTTGGTCCCCTAAAAAAGTCGACTCTAGTGAACCCCGCCGCCTCGCCACGACTCCAAATAAACCCCGCATTTAAACACAGAAAACTGCTTCGTATTGACGTGTCATTAGTGTATCCAAAACAAAAACGTGAAACTTACTTGTTGGAATTCACTTGTCGGATATGGGTGAAGACGTTGATAACGTCTCGAACCCTCCGGGGCGCTTCTTCGATCTTAGAAGCTAAACAAACGCACGCCATCGCCGTATGATCGACCGGATGACGCACTAAACTCTTCGAATAATAAAAACGTTGCAAAAGGACCTGTCCTGTAGCCATCGCTACCTGCAAACATCGGCCAACACACATTAAAAAAGCCGCTCGAGGGGCAACCCGGGGGCTGCAGGCGGGAACGCGGGGCTCACCTGAGGCAGTTTCAACAAAATCCCGGCCGTCTGGATCAGTTCACAACCGTAAATACGCAAATCGGTTTCTGTTTCGATGTCGAGACCGTCGTTCTGGCTCGGCGTCGGCGAGAGCTTCTCTTCGGGGAGGAGTTTGTTCTTGAGGGTGAGAATTACTTTCCCGTAGGGCTTCACGGGGTTCTTGGGGTTACTTGGGGCAGATTCTGCTTTTGCAGAACCCATGTTTCACCACCGCACAGTCAACGTTAACAAACGTACGACAAAATGGCGCTGTGACTTTTGCTGGCGACGCGCATGCGCGGACATTGACGTCAAGCACATGTCAAGTTTTGCTCCGCAAGGTTGTTGCAAGGTTTTTTTTTTATTATTTGTTTGGGGTTCGAGGAGGTTTGGAGGCAGATGGTTACACTTCCCACTGCTAATTATGGCCGTTCACAAATTTTTTTTATTAATATCAAGGGTTTTACATCAGCATGAAGCCCAGTTTACGTCGAAAGCGCCTGGTAAAGCTCGCTTTACACTCGAAGTGCGCGCGCTCTCAGGTTCCGTTAGATGGCGCTGTCGATGTTTAATCGTCAAAACACCCTTGAACTAAATTTAAATTTTATGAATTATCAAACATTCGTTACGTTCAACTAGACTATCTAATGCCAGAATAAATTGACTTTTATTGTGGTGGTTCCTGTATGTTCGACCTCTACGGACATGCATCACTAATTAAATCATACATTTGTGCCAAAAATACCGCGTGACTATTAATGATTGAAGCAAATTTTTCTATTGGCAACAATGTTATCATGTCTGTTCACAATTGTCATTTTGACATAAAGGCGCGTATCCAATAGCAACTACTGACTTAGAAAAGGTGACACAAAAAACATAAAAAAAGAGAAAACAACAAAAACTATGACATAAGAGACAACAAAAAAAGCGATAAACAAGAGGAACAAAAACTGTAACAAAAAGATGGCATAAAAAACGAAAAAGGGGATGGTATGATTAAAAAAACGGTAATGACCAGACAAAAGGAAAATATTATAAAAAAGGCAACTAAAAAAGAAAAGGCAATAAAAAAAACGTCAAAAAACAAAAAAAAAGGAGGACAATAAAAAAAAGCGACAAAACAGCGACAAGAAATACGACAAAATGAAAGACAACAAAAAAAAATGCAAAAAAAAGTAGACAAAAAATGATAAAAAGAAAAGAAAAAAATTACAAAAAAAGGGAGATCAAAAAAGGGACAAAAAGCTACAAAAAAAAGGTACGCAAAAAAGGCGCAACAGAATACAACAAAAAAATGTCAAAAAAGACCACTAAAAAGCGACAAACGCCAAGAAATGGTACAAAAAAGACGATAATAAAGGGTAACTGAAAAAGGTGGCAAAACAACTACAAGTTGACAAATTGACAACAAAAAATGTCAAAAAGTAGACAAAAATATTATATAGAAAGAAGACAAAAATTGTGATAAAAGAAGGTGACAAACAAAAACGATGAAATAAAAGTCGACAAAAAAGCAGACAAGAAATGACGGCTACAAAATGGAAACAATAAAAAAACGGAGAAGAAAAAAATGTGACGACAAAAATGGTCAAAAACGTATCAAAATACTATAAAAAGGGACAAATAAAGACAAAAAATGGGCAACTAAAAAAATACGCAAAACAGCGACAAAAAAAGCAGGGTGAAAAATCGACAAAAAAAAAGGAGAAAAAAAAAACAATTTAAAAAAAGGGGGACAAAACCAAAAAAAGGACGATAAACGACAAGACAAGAAAGGTGGAAAAAACGACAAAAAAGGTAAGAACAGAATAAAAAATACTACAAAGAAAAACGACAAAAAACAAGAAAAGTGAAAAAAAAAGACAAAAAGAGACAACAGAAAGAGGTAGTAAAACAGCTGCAAAAAAATAACAAAACGAAAGGTAAGAAACGTGTGTGTCAAAAAATGAGAGAATAAAAAAGCGATTCAGAAAGAGAACAAAAATTGGGAACTAAGAGGATAAAAAAACAAGAAAAAAGAACAAAGAAAAACCGATAAAATAAGAAGGTGAAAAAGAGCGATAAAAGAGGCGACCAATAAAAGGTAAGAAACGTGTGTGTCAAAAAATGAGAGAATAAAAAAGCGATTCAGAAAGAGAACAAAAATTGGGAACTAAGAGGATAAAAAAACAAGAAAAAAGAACAAAGAAAAACCGATAAAATAAGAAGGTGAAAAAGAGCGATAAAAGAGGCGACCAATAAAAGTGATACAAAAAAGACCCAAAAGTGGAACAAAAAGACAAAAAAAATTGTAGACAAAAAGTAAAACAAAGAGTTATAAAAAAAGAGGGAGAAAAAACAATAATTAAGGGGGCAAAAAAAACAATTAAAAAAACCCAAAAAGGGAAACAAAATTGTTACAAAAAAAGGCGGAAAGAAACAATAAAAAAAAAGACGAAAACGGCAGCATTAGAACACCATAAAAATGTCCCAAAAAGAGCGACAACAACCCCCGAAACGTGGCAAAAAAAAGAACACAAAACGGGGAAAGTAAAAAAGTCAAAAAAGTAGACAAAAAGGACCACAAAAAAGGTAACAGAAAAGGCAAGAACAACTGACGAAAGAAAAAGACAAAAAAGACAAAAAAATATTATCAAAAAGGGGTATCCGACAAATACTATCAAAAAAGGTGGAACAAGAAAAACGATAAAATAAGAAGGTGAAAAAGGACTATAAAAGAAGAGGGAGAAAAAAAGATGACAAAAAAAATTTAACAACGTATAAAAAGGCTGTAAAAGGGAACAAAAAAATTGGACCAAAAAAAAAGACAAAACATGGGCAACTAAAAAAAGGGAAAACGATTTAAAAAAAGGGGGCGAAAAAATACAATAAAAAAACGACAAAAGGAAAAAAGTGATAAAAAGTATAAAATATAAAGCGACAAAAAAAACGATTAAAAAGTTGTGACAAGAAAGGCGGGAAAATTGTGAGCAAAAGAAAATGGTGACGAAAAAGGTGGAAAAACGACAAAAAAGAGTTTGAAAAAAGGTAAAAACCCTACAAAAAAAGCCACAAAAAAAGAGAGGTGAAAAAAGTCGACAAAAAGAGACAACTGAAAAAAAGCGGAGCTACAAAAAAATAACAAAACGAAAGGCAACAAAATAAGTGTCAGAAAAGTAGAGAATAAAAAAGCGATGCAGGAAAAGAACAAAAATTGGAATAAAAAGAGGATTTAAAAAAACGAAAACCCGATAAAATAAGGTGAAAAAGAGCGATAAAAAAACAATATAAGACAAAAAGCTCCAAAAATGGAACAAAAAGAAAAAAATGGGCAACTAAACAAGCGGAAAAAATGGACCAAAAAAATTATAAAAAAGGCACAAAAAAGGAGGGTGAAAAAGCAACAGTTAAAAAGGCAAAAAAATTTAAAAAGCCCAAAAAAGGGGGACAAAATTGTTACAAAAAAAACGACGACAAAAGAAAATCAGAAAGAAACAATCAAAAAACGGCAACAATAGAACAAAAAGGCCCCAAAAAGGGCGACAACAACCCAAGAAACGTGGCAAAAAAAAGATGGCAAAAAAAAGATGGCAAAAAGGAGCAACTAAAAAAACTCAAAAAGTAGACAAAAAAATGATCAATGAAATGGATGACAAAAAAGGCGAGGAAAGCCGACAAAAAGAAGTGCGAAACAAAAGCATTTACAAAGAAGACAAAAAAATAAGATCAAAAAAGATCCATAAAAAGGGAGATAAGAAGGCGACGAAAAGGCGATAATAAAAGACGACACAAGAAAAGCAACAAAAAAATCAACACAAAATGACGGAACAAGAAAATGTGATCTAAAGACGACAAAAAAGAAGACAAAAAATTGACAAAAAAAGAGATAAGACAACAGGCGACAAAAAAACAGACAAAAAATTACGACAAAAAGAACGAACAAAAACGAAGAAAAAAGTGGCAAAACAGTAGCAAGAAAAACCAGAAAACAAAAGTCAACCAACAAACTAAGAAAAAAGTATAAAAAAAATGTCTACAAAATAAAGACGCCACGAAAAAGGGCGACAGAAAAATAACAAGTGGCCACAAAGGGTCGACAATAAATAAGTGATAAAAAAGGGAGAAGAAATGAGATCAAGAAAGGGCAAAGAAAACAACAGAAGACAGGGCGAAAAAATCGAGAAAGAAAAGATGACCTAAAATACTAAAAAAATGCGACCAAAAAACACAGACCACAAAAAGGGGACAAACAAAGAGAACGAAAAAAAAACGATAAATGGGGGTGGAAATGGACAAAAAAAATAACGACGAAAGTAGACAAAAAAAGCTATAAAAAGAAAAGACAAAAAAAGAATGACAGAAAAACGCGACTAAAAAGACCAAACAAGGACGAATAAAGCGAAAAAAAAAACGAAAAAATAAAAAACGACACAAAAAGACGAAGGTGAAAAAGGCGATAAAGAAAGTTGTGACAAATAAAGACGAAAACAAGGCGACAAGAAAGACTATTAAAAGGGGGACAAAAATTGTGACAAAAAAATTACGTCAAAAAAGGTGGAAAAAGACGACCAAAAAAAAAGGGTTTGAAAGAAGGCGAAAACACAAGAAAAAGGCCACAAGAAAACGACAAAAAAAGTAGACAGAAAAAGTGATGCAGAAAGAGAACAAAAATTGGAATAAAAAGAGGGTTTAAAAAACCCAAAAAAGGAGAACAACGAAAAACCCATCAAATAAGGTGAAAAAGAGCGATAAAAAAACAATATAAGACAAAAAGCTCCAAAAATGGAACAAAAAGAAAAAAAACGGGCAGCTAAACAAGCAGAAAAAATGGACCAAAAAAATTATAAAAAAGGCACAAAAAAGGAGGATGAAACAACAACAATTAAGGGAAAAAACAATCGTTAGGGTGCAAAAAAAAATTAAAAAGCCCAAAAAAGGGGGACAAAATTGTTACAAAAAAAGCGGAAAGAAACAATAAAAAAAGACGAAAACGGCAGCACTAGAACACGATAAAAAATGCCCCAAAAAAAGGGACAACAACCCCCGAAAAATGGCAAAAAAAGAACACAAAAAAGGGAAACTAAAAAAGTTAAAAAAGTAGACAAAAATGACCACAAAAAAGGTGACAAAAAATATTATCAAAAAGGCGCATCCGAGAAATACGATCAAAAATGGTGGAACAAGAAAAATGATAAAATAAGAAGGTAAAAAAGGACGATAAAAGAAGAGGGGGAAAAAAAGATGACAAAAAAATTAACAAGGGGGCGAAGAAATACAATTAAAAAACGACAAAAGGAAAAAAGTGATAAAAAGTATAAAATATAAAGCGATTAAAAAGTTGTGACAAGAAAGGCGACAAAATGGAGGGAAAATTGTAACCAAAAGAAAATGGCGACAAAAAAAGGTGGAAAAAACGACAAAAAGAGTTTGAAAAAAGACAAGAACACAAAAAAAAGCCACAAAAAAAGAAAGGTGAAAAAGGTAGACAAAAAGAGACAACTGAAAAAAGACAGTAAAAGAGCTACAAAAAAATAACAAAACGAAAGGCAACAAAATAAGTGTCAAAAAAGAAAAGAATAAAAAAGCGATGCAGAAAAAGAACAAAAATTGGAATAAAAAGAGGATTTAAAAAAACGAAAAAAGGAGGACAACGAAAAACCGATAAAATAAAGTGAAAAAGAGCGATAAAAAAACAATATAAGACAAAAAGCTCCAAAAATGGAACAAAGAGAAAAAAAATGGACAACCAAACAAGCGGAAAAAATAGGCCAAAAAAATTATAAAAAAGGCACAAAAAGGAGGGTGAAACAACAACATTTAAGGGTGAAAAAGCAACAGTTGAGGGGGCAAAAAAAAATTAAAAAGGCCAAAAAAGGGGGACAAAATTGTTACAAAAAAAAAAACGACGACAAAACAAAATCGAAAGGAAACAATCAAAAAAGAGGCGACAACAACCCAAGAAACGTGGCAAAAAAAGAATACAAAAAGGGGCAACTAAAAAAATTCAAGAAGTAGATAAAAAAATGATCAATGAAATGGATGACAAAAAAGGATGACAAAAAAGACGAGAAAAGCCGACAAAAAGATGTGCGAAATAAGAGCGATACAAAGAAGACAAATAAGATCAAAAAAGATCCATAAAAACGGGGAGAAGAAGGCGACAAAAAGACGATAATAAGACGACACAAGAAAAGCAACAAAAAAATCAACACAAAATGACGGAACAAGAAAATTTAAAAACGACAAAAAAGAAGACAAAAAAGAGATAAGACAACAGGCGACAAAAAAATACAAAAACAAAGGAGGAACACAAAATCAGCAACTAAAATCGAAGCGCAAAACAGTAACAAGAAAAACCAGAAAACAAAAGTCAACCAACAAACTAAGAAAAAAGTATAAAAAAAAATGTCTCCCTAAAATAAAGACGCCAAGAAAAAGGGCGACAGAAAAGTAACAAGTGGCCACAAAGGGTCGACAATAAATAAGTGATAAAAAAGGGATACAAAATGAGATTAAGAAAGGGCAAAGAAAACAACAAAAGACAAGGCGAAAAAATGCGACCAAAAAACACTGACCACAAAAAGGGGGCACACAAAAACAACAAATAGAACGAAAAAAACGATAAATGGGGGTGGAAATGGATAAGAAAAATAACGACAACAGGCTATAAAAAGAAAAGAGAAAAAAATTACAGAAAAACGCGAGTAAAAAGACCAAAGAAGGACGAATAAAGCGAAAAAACAGCGAAAAAATAAAAAACGACACAAAAAAAGACGAAGGCGATAAAGAAAGTTGTGACAAATAAAGACGAGAACAAGGCGACAAGAAAGGCTATTAAAAGGGAGACAAAAATTGGGACAAAAAAATTATAATAAAAAAACATAAATAGGCGGCGAAAAGATGCTTTAAAAAAAGGCAACAAACAAACCTAAAAAACGATAAAATAAAAGCAAACAAGTTGACAAAAAAGATACAAATAAATCCATCGAAAAGAGGGTAAAAAATGTGACAAAAACAGATAAAATAAGAAGATGAAAAAAAGGGATAAAGAGGCGACCAAAAAAAAGCGCCAAAAATGGAACAAAAAGACAAAAAAATGGCAGCTAAAAAGCGGCTAAAATATGTACAAAAATGATAAAAAAAGGAAGAAAAATGCGACAGAAAAAGGGTGAAATAATGACATTTAAAAAAACGAGTAAAAAAGGTCAAAATAGGGCGACAAAATTGTTATAAAAAACATGCAAAAAAAGGGATTAACAAAAAAAGGCGGTAAAACAACAAAATTGGTGTCAAAAAGTAGACAAAAATGACGACAAGAAAGTATGACAAAAAAAGGCGAAAAAAACCGACAAAAAAAGGTGCGAAATAAAAGCGATATCAAGAAGACAAAATATCAAAAAAAGATTAAAAAAAGCCGACCAAAAAAAGGGAGCGAAGAAGGCGACAAAAAAGGACGATTAAAAGAAGGACAAAAAGGCGATAATAAAAGACGAGACAAAAAAAATCAACACAAAATGAGGAGCAAGAAAATGTGATTTAGAGACAATAAGAAAGAGGACAAAAATCGACAAAAAAAGCGATAAGACAAGAGGCCACAAAAAGCAGACCAAAAAAGTCGACAAAAAAAAGGCGAAAAAAGGGAAGACAAAAGTGACAAAGAAAAAAGTCGAAAACAAGGCGACAAAAAACTGCTAAAAAATGGAAACCAAACAAGTGACAAAAAAAACACAAACGACCCAAAAAATAAGAAAAAAGTAGAAAAAAAAAGCCGACAAAATAAAGATGACACAAAAAAGAGCAACAAAAAGGTAAGAAACGTGACTATAAAAAGTCAACAATAAAAAGTGTTAAAAACTGGAAAGAAAATGCAATAAAGGGAATGAAAAAATCGATAAATAAAGAGGGCAAAAATCGACAAAATGACAGAAATTAGGAACTTAGTCTATTTGTTTTTTTTTTTTTCAATGAAATCATACTGTGTTGTCCTTATGAGTTATAATTGTCTTAATGTTTCGAAAAACATAACGACTTCGATATTCCTTGTATGCTATTTTTTAGATCTCTGGAAAATTTGGCACGCAACTTTTGGTTATTTTTTCTGCTATTCGTGTCATTCGAGTGTAGGATATTGATGTGAATTCACTTTTTTGTCACTGAATTTTGAAGACCAATTCCAAACAGATCCTTTTTCGGTTACAGTTTCCAGTGTTTATATTCTGGTTTACAGTTTCAATTTTGAAAAAAATGAAAACTTTATATTTAAATTGCCAATCAGAAATAACCAAAATCCCTTCTTTTAAGCCCCTTTTCGAGAATCTTGCCCTGCCTCAGCTGCTCCCGGATATCTTCAGTCACTTGTTCCTCCCGCTGCACCGTAGCAAGCATTCGACTATAAAACGCCGACCTGTCCAATTTAATCCTTTGCAACCTCTCCACCAGCTCCGGATACACCCTGCAACAATGCTTAATGTCCTTCTTCTCCAACCTGTACACCTCCGACACCTCCAGCGCCACCACCGAGCCCAAAAAGTGCACTTGCGCTCCCTCCACATACGAATCATTCTTCCCGAAATGCGACCCATCCTCCACATGGTGTATTTCACGTCCCGAAGGCAAACACACCCCACAAGTCCCATACTTAATGAAGTACGTGCCTTCGTCGTTCGCGTCCTCCGTCCGCAGCACCACGTCCCCCGCCAGGTAAATCTCGTACTGAAGCTGCCCCAGAATACACCCGATCACCGACTTCGATAACCCCTGGAACATGTTCACCCGAGCTATCAAGTTCCGCCTGCTGTAAAGAAGAGCTTCCATTCGAAGATGTTCAGACAAATAGCTGAAGATCTTTTCTTTTGAGAAGAACTTCCTCTGGTATTTGCACTCGTAGTACTTGAGGGCGCGTTTCTGGAGATCCCGCGGGAACTGTTTCAATCTCATAAAGTCCTCCAGACCGAAGTAAATCTCATCGAACTTGGTTTCGGACACCTTGTGGGTCCCCAGGAGCTGGACGACGTGGGCGATGGTGTACACGTAGACGAACATCCCCGTGAAGAGGATCAACGAGAAGATGAATCTCTCGAAGCTGTTTTGGACGTAGTGGTCGTCGGGGACGCAGCCGTAGGAGAAGGCCGCCACCACGGCGAAGTGGACGAGGTACAACCACATGGAGTGCCAGTAGGGGAGGTCTTCTTTGAACTCGAAGGCTATGTGGCCTTGGAAAGAGGCGTTTCTGCCGTAATTGTACTGGTGCAACCAGGAGCGGTGCAGAGGGAGGTCGTACATGCACTTGCCCAAATTCACTAACCCCACGACGCAGGTCCACTCGTGGAGGAACACCCCGACGATGATCGCAAACGCACACACAGTCCTCACGGTGCTGTGTACTCTCAGCTGCATCAAGTACAGCTCCACGTCGATGAAGAACGTCTTCATTCTAGCCAACCGCAACTTGTGCAGCTGGAATATGAACAACTTCACCTTGGGCGACAGCGGTAAAATATAGAACAGAAAGACGTTCAAAATTGGGATTCCGTCGAAGAGGCAGTACGTCTTGAGGTAGTGCTTGACTATGCTTGCGGGTTCTAGAACAACCGTCCCGACTTTCTCGATAGTGTAGCCAAAAGCGAAGCGCATGCAGTAGTCAGCGAAGAGCACCAGGTTGAGGGATAGGAGCACGGAGTCCGACAGCGGCGTCGTGCGGGGGCCTGTCTTGTAGAACGAAGGGCCGCTGAAAGTACCGATGTAGGCTTCAGAGAGTAGGAGTAGCACCCAGGCGATGCACGCCACGACGTTCTCAATCATGCTGAACTTGCTGAAGGGATGGATGATTCTTTTATATCTGGGGTTTTGTGTGTGGCGTTCGCGTTCCTTGCGGATTGAGGCAGAGCTTGGGAAGTAGCGGCGACTGCGGAAGTTCGAACAGATGGACAACTTTGTATCATGTAGTGTGTTCAGTCGTGTCTTGTAGGCGGTGGGAACTTTAATATGGGGTTTGAAGAGGGCGCACGCGTGTTCTTTGACGTTCATTTTGACAAGTGCTAGGAGAGAAGTGTCGGGTAGACATATGTTGAGGTGACGCGATTTGAAGGTGTGGAGGTTTCTAATAACAAGAACTTTTGAAGGACATTAATTTTTCAACATTTTCCAGTAGTACCCTGAATGAAGTACCCTGTAGGTACTATAACATCTTGTCCATCCGTACCAACAATTTGATGACGTTTTCTTAAAACTTTTCTAAGCAAATGCTACTTAAATTTTGTAAAATAACATGCTTCTGCGGTTATTTTTTACCTGATACATCGAGATTTTTGAAAAAAAAAGGTGAAATTTAATTTAGAACTATAAAACCGGCTACTTTGGAATCTTGTTAAAGATGGTAAATCGATAATCAAGCTTTTTTGTTTATCCGCTCCAAAAAGTTAATTATTATCTTAGAATTTTGTTGGATAAATGCTGTCTAAAATGTACGATACACTAGGTTTTTCGTCTTTTTTCTCTCTTTTTTAATTTCCTTTTTGTTGTAGCCTTTGTTTGTTTGTCAGTTTTTTTCAAGTTTTTTGTCGCCTTTTTTGACGCCTCTTTTGTTTGACTCCCCTTTTTGGATGAATTTTTTCACTATGACCTCTCATCGACTTTTTCAATTTTTCGGTTTACAGATCTCTATATTTTTCTGTTTCTCGATTTCTCGATCTTCGATCTCCCGATTTTTTGAGTTTTGGATTTCTCACTTTTTCGATAAGTATTTCGATTTTTCGGTTTTTAAATTCAAAAACTGGGAAGTCGAAACTTCCCAGTTTTTGAATTTATCAAAATTTCGGTTTTCCATTTTTCAAAATTTCGATTTTTCTTGATTTTTCGACTTTTCGATTTTTCAATTTTTCATGTTTTCGATTTCTTGACTTTTCGATTCATGGATTTCTCGATTTCTCGAATTTTTGTGTCCCAATTTTTCGATTTTTCAATTTTTTGTGTTTACAATTTTTTGATTTTTTGATTTTCGGATGTTTCAATTTTTGACTATCTAAATTTTTTATTTCGATTTTTTGTTCTCTTCATTTCTGAATATTTTTCTATTTCTCGATTTCCTAATTTTCGATCTCTCAATTTTTCAATATTTCGATATTTCGATTTTTCGGTTTCTTGATTTCTCGACTTTTCGAGTTATCACTCTCTCGCTTTCCTGAATTTTTGACTTTCCAGTTTTTCGATTTATCAAAATTTCGGTTTTCCAATTTTTCAAATAATCCATTTTTCTCCAGTTTTTCGATTTTTCTTTCTATTTCTTGATTTTTCGATTTCCGGGTTTTTCAGTTTTTGAATATCTAAATTTTTTAATATTCGATTTCCCAACATTGCGATTTTTCAATTTTTCGGTTTATAGATCGTTCGATTTCTCGATTTTTCGTTCTCTTAATTTCTGGATCGCTATATTTTTCTGTTTTTCGAATTCTTGTTATTCGATCTCTCGATTTTTTGAGTTTTGGATTTCTCAATTTTTCAATATTTCGATTTCTCGGTTTTTCGTCTTTTCGATTTCTCGACTTTTCTGAATTTTCGACTTTCCAGTTTTTGGATTTATCAAAATTTCGGTTCTTCCATTTTTGAAAATTTCGATTTTTCTTGATTTTTCTTGATTTTTCGACTTTTCGATTTTTTAATTTTTCATGTTTTCGATTTCTTGACTTTTCGATTTACGGATTTCTCGATTTCTCGAATTTTTGTGTCCCCATTTTTCGATTTTTCAATTTTTTGTGGTTTCAATTTCTGGATTTTTTGATTTTCGGATTTTTCAATTTTCGACTATCTAAATTTTTTAATTTTCGATTTTTCCACATTGCGATTTTTCAATTTTTCGGTTTATACATCGTTCGATTCCTCGATTTTTCGTTCTCTTATTTTCTGGATCTCTATATTTTTCTGTTTCGCGATCTTCGATCTCTCGATTTTTTGAGTTTTGGATTTCTCAATTTTTCTTCGATATTTCGATTTCTCGCTTTTTCAATTTCTCGAGTTTTCCAGTTTTCGCCCTTTCGATTTCCTGAATTTTCGACTTTCCAGTTTTTGGATTTATCAAAATTTCGATTTCTCAATTTTTCATGTTTTCGATTTTTTAACTTTTCGATTTATGGATTTCTCGGTTTCTCGAATTTTTGTCTCCCAATTTTTCGATTTTTAAATTTTTTGTGGTTTCAATTTCTCGATTTTTTGATTTTCGGATTTTTCAATTTTTGACTATCTAAATTTTTTAATTTTCGATTTTTCCACATTGCGATTTTTCAATTTTTCGGTTTATACATCGTTCGATTCCTCGATTTTTCGTTCTCTTATTTTCTGGATCTCTATATTTTTCTGTTTCTCGATCTTCGATCTCTCGATTTTTTGAGTTTTGGATTTCTCAATTTTTCTTCGATATTTCGATTTCTCGCTATTTCAATTTCTCGAGTTTTCCAGTTTTCGCCCTTTCGATTTCCTGAATTTTCGACTTTCCAGTTTTTGGATTTATCAAAATTTCGATTTCTCAATTTTTCATGTTTTCGATTTCTTGACTTTTCGATTTATGGATTTCTCGGTTTCTCGAATTTTTGTCTCCCAATTTTTCGATTTTTCAATTTTTTGTGGTTTCAATTTCTGGATTTTTTGATTTTCGGATTTTTCAATTTTTGACTGTCTAAATTTTTTAATTTTCGATTTTTCCACATTGCGATTTTTCAATTTTTCGGCTTATACATCGTTCGATTCCTCGATTTTTCGTTCTCTTATTTTCTGGATCTCTATATTTTTCTGTTTCTCGATCTTCGATCTCTCGATTTTTTGAGTTTTGGATTTCTCAATTTTTCTTCGATATTTCAATTTCTCGCTTTTTCGATTTCTCGAGTTTTCCAGTTTCCGAATTTTTGACTTTCCAGTTTTTGGATTTATCAAAATTTCGGTTTTTCCATTTTTCAAATTTTCGATTTTTCTTGATTTTTCTTGATTTTTCGACTTTTCGATTTCTCAATTTTTCATGTTTCAATTTCTTGACTTTTCCATTCATGGCTTTCTCGATTTCTCGAATTTTGTGTCCCAATTTTTCGATTTTTCAATTTTTTGCGTTTTGCATTTCTTGATTTTTTGATTTTCGGATTTTTCAATTTTTGACTATCTAAATTTTTTAATTCGATTTTTTGTTCTCTTCATTTCTGAATCTCTATACTTTTCTATTTCTCGATTTCCTAATTTTCGATTTTTCGATTTTTCATTTTCTTGATTTCTCGACTTTTCGAGTTGTCACTCTCTCGATTTTCTGAATTTTTGACTTTCCAGTTTTTCGATTTAACAAAATTTAGATTTTCCAATTTTTCAAATTATCCATTTTTCTCTAGTTTTTCGATTTTTTTTTCTATTCCTTGATATTTCTAAATTTTTTAATATTCGATTTCCCAACATTGCGATTTTTCAATTTTTCGGTTTATAGATTGCTAGATTTGTCGATTTTTCGTTGTCTGAATTTCTGGATCTCTATGTTTTTCTATTTCTCGATTTCTTGATTTTGTTCGATCTCTCCATTTTTTGAGTTTTGGATTTCCCAATTTTTCGATATTTCGATTTCTCGATTTTTCGGTTTCTCGATTTCTCGACTTTTCGAGTTTTCGCCCTGTCGATTTCCTTAATTTTCGATTTAACAAAATTTAGGTTTTCCAATTATCAAATTTTCCATTTTTCTTTAATTTTTTAGTTTTTCGACTTTCCGATTTTTCGATTTCTCAGTTTTTTATGTTTTCGATTTCTTCATTCCCCATTTGTTTGGATTTTTCGATTTTTAAATTTTTAGATACACATTTAAGTTTTTTGAATATTCGATACTGCGATTTTTCAATTTTTCCAATTTTTTTACTTTTCCCGATTTCTATATTTTTCTATTTCTGATTTTCCATTTTTGGATATCTCAATTGCCCGAGTTTTCGATTTTTCGACTTTCCAGATTTTCGATTTCTTAATGTTTCCGTTTTCCAATTTTATTAAATTTTGCATATTTCAATTTCCCGATTTCTCGACTTTTCCATTTTTCGATTTTTGGTCTTTCGGCCTTTCGATTTCTCTAATTTTCATGTCTCAATTTTTCGATTTTTCAATTTTTCGTGTTTTCGATCCCTAGATTTTTCAAATTCCCAATTTCTCGGCTTTTCAATGGTTAGATATTTAATTTTTTTGACTTTTCGATATTGCGATTTTCCAATTTCTCGAGTCTTTGGTTTTTAAATTTCTCTATTTCTCAATTTTTCCACTTTTCACCCTCTCTCAATTTGAATTTTTCGGTTCTTCGTTTTTTTGATTTTCCAAGATTTGTTTTTTTTTAGTATTTTTTGTCATAACCTTTTAGTCTCTTTTTCCTGTCGCATTTTTTTTTTGTTTTTTTTTGGTCACTTTTCATGTCCTTTTTTTTGTTCCCTTTGTATTGACTCTCTTTTTTACCTGTTCTTCGTTTTTTAGCTTTTTGTTGCTTTAATTTTTGTTGTCTTTTTTTGACCTTTTATCACCTTTTTCGTTATTTTTTTTTGTTAATTTTTTTGGTTTTTAAACGATATGTTAAAATTTTTTTGTTTTTTTTTTGCGCGTTTTTTTCCTTTTTCTATAGTCCATATGTTCTGTCGGTTTTTTTTACTTTTTTTTTTCATTTTTTTAAATTTCCTTTTTGATCAATTTTTTTCATCCTTTGTTATGGGCTTTTTTGGCTTCTTTTCCTTATAGCCTTTTTTCTTACGTTTTTACCACCTTTTTTGCACTTTTTGTTACGTTTTTTTGAATTTCTTGTCCTATTTTTTGACTCTTCTTTCTCGATTTTTCGTTCTCTTAATTTCTGGATCTCTATATATTTCTGTTTTTTGTTTTCCTGTTCTTCGATCTCGCGATTTTCCAGTTTTTGGATTTATCAAAATTTCGGTTTTTCCATTTTTCAAAATTTCGATTTTTCTTGAATTTTCGACTTTTCGATTTTTCAATTTTTCATGTTTGGATTTCTTGACTTTTCAATTCATGGATTTCTCGAT